TCTATAAAGGTGAGCTGGTGCTTGCCAGTTCACTAGCTAGCAACAATCCTCCTTCATCACAGTCCGCAACAGTGTCACACCGCGTTTCCTCTGCAATGCAGGGAAACTGAGTTGTGGGCAAGGAGATTTCTTGCGATGTATTCTTTTCAATGCTAGATCTTTAGTAAACAAGTTACAACTTCTACACCATTTTTTGACTACTAAATTCCCTGATATTCTTTTTATCACGGAATCGTGGTTATCATCGAAAATAAATGATGCTGAAATAGTTTCTGATCTGCCATACATGGTCTTTCGGTCTGATAGAAAACGTAAGAAGGGGGAGGAGTTTGAATATTGATTAAATCAACGCTATTATGTGAGAGCATTACAATTGAGAATGACTGCAGTTGTGAAATAAATCTTGTTGATTTATACCAACCCGGCACTCTCTCCAAAACCCGAGTTATATGTATTTATCGTCCTCCCAGCTCCGCCTCTGATTCAGATGATACGCTTATTGATCTCCTCTTAGCTTCTACCCATTGTACTCCGAATATCCTGATCGCTGGTGATTTCAACCTTCCTATGAGATGCTCTGGAGACTCAGCACATCATATCTATCCACAAGTTCAAAGATTTCTCGAGTTCTTTCGTGACTTGGACCTTAAGCAATTCGTTACAATACCCACGCGTGATGGTGCCATTCTAGATTGGGTACTATCAGGTACTAACTCAGTACACAATCTATCAGTAAATGCACCGTTTGGCACATCTGATCACAATACCAACGAATTGTACGAATTTCGTAATCCCAAAAATGAACTTATCCCATTTCCTATCTTCAACAAAACTGATTTCGAAGCAATGAAAAACGACCTTCACACTCTTGATTGGGAAGAGATCTTCGATCGTTATATTAGTCCCTCTGATGTATACTACAGATTTTGCTGTGTTATGTATAATCCACTGGCTAAATATACTCCTTTTGGTGTGCACAGAATTGGCTATCTACGATACCCGCGTCACATACAGTCGCTTCTGCTCCAGAAAGAAAGACTTTTTAGAACTGCTCAGTATAACCGCCCATTATACAGTAAGGTCTGCTCTGACGTAACATTCCATATCAAGAAATTCCTCGCAAATCACGAAAGACACCTGGCTTCGTCTAATCACTCTAAAAATCTCTTTGCTTATATCCATCGTATACAGCATATACAGCATCACGGCGCCCTGAAAGACACCCTAGGCAATACCTGCCTAACAAATCAGTCTAAGGGTTCAGCATCAGCTGAGTTTTTTGCTACTACGTTTTCCACAAGTACTACGGATACTAAAACATTGGGGCCACCTCTGAACCATAGCTGCTCAACACCTATAATCATGCCTTCTACAGTCGAAAACTTCCTCAAAACTCTAAAACCTTCTACATTTGAACCTTTTGACGGCATTCCCCAGATTGTCTTCAAACGTTGTGCAAGAGAACTTTCGCTTCCTCTGTCAAATGAAACTAATATCTTCAATATTAGTTTCATTTGTGGTGAAATACCTAACATCTGGAAAGAAGCAATTGTCACTGCACTTCCGAAAGTTCCCAAACCTCAATCTGTGACAGAGTTTAGACCTATAAGCATAAATCCAGTACCATGTAAAGTTCTTGAAAAAATTATCCGTGACAAACTTCTCTTTTGGCTGGAAAGGTTCAATGTCATACCCGCTGAACAACATGGGTTTGTCAGCGGCGCATCCACAGCAACCCAACTAATAGATTGTAGTCATGACTGGATCAAGGCATATCTCGATAAGAAAGAAGTAGACGTTATATGTTTCGATTTGTCGAAAGCTTTTGATCGTATAAGTCATGGTAAATTGTTGAACAAGCTTGAGCATTATGGTATTAGAGGACCCCTGCTTGAGTGGCTAAAATCGTATCTGCACTCCAGATACATGACGGTTAGAGTGGGGAGAGATCATTCTGAACGTTTTCCTTGTATAAGCGGACTTCCGCAGGGCGGGGCTCTTTCACCCTTGCTATTCTTAGTCTATACCGCTGAGTTACCCCAGATTCTAAAAACTCATCATGACATACATGTTCTCATGTATGCCGACGACATCAAAATTTATGGTATATACAATAGAGATAACCAGAGAACAATTAAAGAAGCTCTACAACAGGCCATCAATAACATGGTTGAATGGTGCACAAATTGGGACATTTCGGTAAATATAAAGAAAAGCTCCGTATTCCATGTTGGTGCCACTGCAAGTGATGAACACTATGAGCATGCGGGAGTTTCTTTGGTAAATAAAACATCTATCAAAGACTTAGGTGTTATGTTCGATAGCACCCTGAAACCTGACTTGCAAATTTCAAATGTTACTTCCCGTGCATTTTCAATTCTGTACACCATCTTTCGTAATATTAGAGTAGCCGATTCATAAATATTACTGAAACTCTATAAAGCATTTGTCATCCCTATTGTAGAGTATGCAAGCCAGGTTTGGAGCCCCTCCCTGAGGAAGCATAAGCAGGCCCTGGAGAGCGTTCAGAAGGTTTTTACTCGCTTGCTTTTCTACAGATGTTATCCCAGTCGTGGTTATCCACGATCGCTCCCAAGCTATGGTGAACGAATGAAAGTCCTAGGTCTTGTAAGCCTGACACATCGTAGGATTCTGCATGATGTAATACTTGCTTTCAGGATTTTTAGAGGCGAGACTAAGCTAAGACCTTCTAAGTATTGGGTATTCAGGCCTACCCATGGAAGGACCACCGGGTTTTCTGTTTATTTACAACTAAATGGTGGGCGTAAACAATTGAACTCTTTATCAGAAAACAGTTTTTTCGCACGCACTTCAAAATACCTTCAATGTTTACCCAAAGAAATTTTGTCTTCTCCAGACAGTCTCACTTTCAAACGAAGACTTAAGAAGCTAAATTTGTCTGATTTTATTCAGGAAGTTGATTTTGACTGATTTTCTTCCAGAAGACTTTCTTGACATCGCTCGTACAGTGTTACCGTTTGCCTGCCGAACCTTCCCTACACCCACTACTACGTGTGTCGCGGGCCTACTCCAGTACCCTGTAACCGACCAACTCTGTCAGTCTGTCATTCATCGCGCAGAAAGTCTTCCAATGATAGCTTTCTCAAGTACCAAACTTGTGATCAGTGGACCCTCAAGTCACTCACTGTTCCGATATTTACTTTATCCACCGTGGTTCGGGTCCGGTTCACTCATTTTCGTTGTTATTTGGGAATAGCTTGTCTGACCTGACATTTTTTTTGCCTCACAAACTTTTGTCTCGGAGTTCTGCTCTCTCCCCCGAATCAGTCGGGCAAATTCCTCTTATTACATCTATTCCCCGCATTATAATTGCTTAAGTTGAATACTCTAAGAGCACTTTTGCTACAAGCAGGGGGCATGGGACAGACTCCGCCGAGCATCTGCACTGATATTCATACACGGTCTACAGGCTTAACCTCCTTTTACTCACGGAGCTGGACTTGAGCTTTTGGGGATGTTTTGTTAATTTCTACTGTTCATGCTCTACGTATTTTGCTCTTTGTTCCAATTATGGCACGCTTTGTGCGTATTGAATAAATAAAAAAATATAAATTAGTTTTCAAATTTATAGATTACCTTTATCGATTTTATCAATTTTTTGTAAAGTTGGACCTGCAGGGCTGGGAGTTGCCACAGGGGGGTAATCGAGCATGGGGATTCCGAATACGATGTTAGTTTTGAGGATTATCGATTACCTTTATCGATTTTATCGATTATTTTGTAAAGTTTGACCTGCAGGGCTGGGAGTTGGCACAGGGGGGCAATCGAACATGCTGATTACGGATACAATAATAGTTTTCAAGATCGTCCATTACTTTTATCGATTTTATGGCTTTTTAAAGTTTGGGCTACGGGGCTAGGAGTTGGCACAGGGGGTAATCGAGCATGCTGATTACGAATTCGTATTAGATTAGCGCTATTCGGCTATCCGGGCCTCAAAACTTTTTTGTGGTAGAACTTGCTCAAACTTCGTGTACATATAAGGGTTATCTTAACGGCCGGGCATACTCCAAGCGATTTCAATCGTGACGCAATTTGGCAATATTCCAGGTGTCCATAGCTCATTGTAAGCACATTGTAAATGTACAGAAGATAGGGCATTTCATCAGTTTACTTAAGTTATACACACTATGCATGTGCAATTTGCTAATATTGGATCCGAAGACTTCTGGCGAATTGCCATATCGCGTTGCGACTAAAACCGCGTGAAGTATGCCCGGCCCTTTACATGCTGATTACAGGTATCACATTTTCTTCGCAGAACGCCTTCCCGTGTGGTTACGATAGGTGTACGGCAGTGGCGTACCGAGGGGGGGGGCGCCCCTTCCCCCCGAGGATGGGTTGCGAAATTTTTGAAAGTTACTTAAATGTGTTATAAAAATGTGCAAAGGACTTGTCTTTACTTTTAAATAATTAAAATAATTTTTAATATTTTTAAAAGTACAAATTAGCCTTGTAAAAGAAATTTTTTCGGGGTTGGGAACCCGCAAAAATTTTCAAAAGCACCCAAAAATTTTTTCGGAATGCGTGGCTAACGCCACGCACCTTCATTAGAAAAAAATTTTTGTCGCTCCCCCCCGAGCCGAAATCCTGGGTACGCCACTGGTGTACGGTAGGAAGTCAAAATCATGAATTCGCACTGGAGTTCGGTCCATATGGCTTACTCGACATGCAGTACAAATATCATCTCTCTCTCTCTGCATATTGGGACCTTTTCATAGAGTTGTGGTGATTATATGGTATGGGGTCGAAAACATTGATTTGCTTTAAACTTTGTCTAGGGTGGTCATTTAGCGCGCTGAAAATGAATATCATGTTGATTTCGCAAGTATAGTGCATTTTCTTGGGTTACGGTGGGTGTAGATGGGTGGAAGTTCCAGATTTGCTCAAAACTTTACCTGTAACGGTTCACAAGTATATCGCTTATGATTAAGATGCTTGCTCGCTGTCATAACGCATTATTGTGAAGTTATGGTGAGTTGCAGAGTTTCCTTATTAGCTTGCAACATTCTCTCTTCTGCTTGCTCCTCAGCAGTAAGCCCAGGTAACGCGAGGTCACCCAGAACCAAGCTACCAGCCTAAAATACATTAAATTTATATCACCTTCACTTGATTTTTTCACACCAACCTCTTGCTCTTTTTTTGAACGGAGATCCATTAACTCTTCAAGCGGCGTTCCATGCCACTCAGGTACCTTCCACTTCAAACGGTGACAAAGTACTACAGGATCGTACTAAAACTGCTCATAATATTTTAATTTTTGAATATTATATTACTTACGGTCCCTACTCCATTGATTTCCACTTTATTGTGTCTGATGCGAATTTCTGGGGCACGTTTTTTCGCGTTCTGGTAACATTCCTTGATTTGAATACGTAGTAACAAGCTAAAATAATATAATCATGATTACCATTATTCAATATCCAATACACTTACCACAAGCGGTTGAGATCAGTTTGTCTGGTCGTTTGTTCCTGCATAATGAGAATCTTGGTACCGTTTTCATTGTTATACCTCTTAAGGTTTTCTTTACCGACAGATAGAAACCATTTCCAGAATAAATAAGAGGTTTTCACTTAAAACTTCAATTAGTTAATCCCCTTAATCTAATTCACATCATACTACACTACTCTGAATAATAATGGAACACTTTGCATTATTCTCCACTACACTCTACCTCGCGCCATACAACACAATCACCCGCTACTATAACTTACATACCACACCACACCACACCACACCATACCACACCACACCACACCACACCACACCACACCACACCACACCACACCACACCACCACACCACACCACTCCACACCATACCACACCACACCACACCACACCATACCACACCACACCACACCACACCACACCACACCACACCACACCACTCCACTCCACACCACACCATACCACACCACACCACACCACACCACACCACACCACACCACACCACACTACACCACACCACACCACCACACCACACCACACCACACTACACCATACCACACCATGCCACACCATACCACACCACACCAACACCATGCCACCCACACCATACCATACCATACCACACCTCACCATACCATACCATACCTCACCACATCACACCACACCACACCACACCACACCATATCACACTACTCTATACTACACCACACATACACCATGCATACACACTATATTAACAAAGATTCATACACATATATAAAAAACCATATTTATTAAAACGCAATATAACACAAATAATTCTTAAAATTGTATAATAATATTACAATATACAATTAAAAAGAATGATTAAAAACTGACTGTTATTCCCATTGTTGTGGATCCCACACCAAAAGGGCGAGGCCATGAGAATGGGGTACGATCCTCGCTCCGATCGTATCTAAATAGTCGTAATCGAAACAGCAATTATTACTTATTTGAAAGAAAATTATAACAATAATAAATAAAAAACGTACCCCAACAGATTTTTGATATCGTCCATTAGTAAGTCCAAGTCCTTTTTCATCCTGATTGGTATGTTTATAATCCTTATGTATTCCGACATCACGCGACCGGCCAATGTTTCATTAAATCGCTCCTTCCTTTCCTGTTGATCCATTTCTAAAATAACTATATAACAATCTGCAAACATCATTCTAAGAAAAACAACATCACATCAAAAAAAATTAACACGAGCGCTGAGGAGAAATGCATCAAAAATAACAATTTTAGGCCAATGTCATTGCAAGATTTGGTTTATCCTACAGTATCTCCTTATCATCAGTGGAGCACATTTACGTGTATTGACCTTATAGCATCTTTCCTTGCCGCATTTTTAACATTAAGGGGTTGTCACTAACAGACTTAACTTAACATGCCTAATTTATTTCTAATAAATATTGTTTATACATACATAAACATAAGGGGTTAGGTTGTTACCTTACCTGAGGTTAGTTTAGTTTTTTTTCTTTTGAATTTTTTTCAGTAATATTACCGATGGGGTTTACACAAGTGGCTACTGGCATGGGAGGGTAAGTATCTGCGCCTCCGGTATATTACTTATTTTAGGGAGCGCCAACCCCTGGGAGCAGTCCTTCCGAAACTTAAGTAACCTTCCCTCTGCTATAGGATTAGGTCATTTTTTAGCTTAGATTATAGGCTTAAAAATAAAATTACATACACAAGTTACTCATCTGATTCTTATTTTCAGGCTGCGTCTTTTACTAGGAGTAAGGTAAATGGCGAACACAACCTAATGCATTTTGGTAATGATAATGCAGGCGCAAAATGTAGTACAAAATGCATTATATGCCAAAAATTTCTTGACAATAATAACTATATATACTCCCATACCACAAATTTACGGATTAAAACATATAAAACCACTACAGCTACTTGCACGTCTAAAAATGTTATATACTGCATAACATGTTCAGACTGTGGATTTCAATATGTTGGCATTACTACTAGAAAACTTAGTATTAGAATAAAAGAACATTTACGGGGTATAAGAAATAAAATCGATAATAAACTATTGTATAAGCACTTTAAAACAGGGACTTGTAATAGTGAAAATTTAAAAGTTAACATACTAGATAATGCACCTGAAAACGCTGACACTACTATTCTAAGAAATAAGGAACTATTTTGGATCAAATTATTGATGACACCATATCCCTTTGGTTTCAACGATAACATAAAAGGCTATGGCAATCTAATTACCATTAGTAATCCACTTTTCCATAAAGCCAACCATCCTTTTTTCAATCTAAAAATAACCAAGTTGAGAAACAATCGCGGAATAAAGAAGAATTCTAGCGCAAAATACAAGACTAACTCACAGTTTATAACCACCGAAGTGCAAAACTTCATAGTTAGCAATCCCTCCTTCTATCAATTATATAAATTTATAAAAAGTAAAAACAAACATTACATTTCCACACTCATAAACATTATCACGCTTAATAATACACAACTTAAGCTCCCAAGTGAGTTTAAATATGCATTTTGTAGTATACTTTGTTACTACTATTTCGATAAGCCACAGCCTGCAACCATTAAACCAATTATTTGAACATTAAGTTTCCATTTTATAACTCTATACTTGATAAATTCAACGTCAATAGAATGAAAAATAATAAACAGACAGTAATAATAATAGACAGTAAAAAACATAATAACCCTCAGAAGCACCAAGCAATATCTACCCGTTAGATTAATATACCAGTACCCCAAACAATCTTCTAGCTATTTATATAGTTATAACAATTTTTTAATGTCTCTTGATCGTCTGAACAGTACCAGTTTACCGTGCATTTGTGCACGTTACAGTCGTTTTATAGATCCAAGTCACAAGCATATAGTTACGGGTAATATTGAACTTTTCAGAGATAGTCCTATATATGAGTTCTTCTCAAAGGTACCAAGTTTCGTTTTCCGTCCCAACATTCATCTATTCAGATTAAAAAATTTTGGATGAATTTGTTCGAAACAATTGCCGTTAAACATAAAAATAGACACTCTCTTTCCTCCAGTATCTCAAACATTTTATACAGCACGTTATGTAGACATTTCTTTAGTAATAATAACAGACTTATATATTACAATCGTAAACCAAATAATTATAAACTTCCTATCCATGAAATTAAAAAATTCCAAAAATTCTTCATATTCTGCCCATTAGATAAGGCCAGCTCAAATTACGGTATAATTTGTAAGCGTTTTTACATAACCGTCCTCATGCGAGAAATGGGAATAGAAGATACCAGCAATTTTCGGTCAACCATTTACAACTATATTCCTGATACCGACCTTAACAAAATAATAACTAAACATTTAAACTTTATACGCAATTTGAATTTAAAACCTATAAACAATCCTACTGTTCCTAATATTTATTGCTTACCTAAACCTCCAGTTAAATTTAGGTTTATAATAGGAGCTTCAAATAGTAGTATGAAACCCTTATCTGAAGAAATTATGCATATATTTACATTTTTTAAAAGACATTTTAGGAACTACGCAAAAATAGTTCGACTTCATAAGAATAGTCTTGAAACATATTGGTCTATCAATGATATAAACATTTCCCACCAATTGCAAACTATAACTGATCAAAAGCTACAGCTTTTCTCAGCAGATTTTACTAACATGTCTACTAATATTCCCCATTCTGTCATTCTACACAATCTTAGTGAAATAATGAAAATTTGCTTCAAAAATAGTAATAGTAAATACATAACATGCAGCGACAGAACTGTTTACTATTCCAATACTGCTACTGATAAAACTGGACAAAGAAGCTATAAAATAGAAAATATCATTTATCTCCTAGAATATTTGCTTGATAATAGTTATAGCAAAATAGGACAAAACATTTTCAAACAAAAGATAGGCGTGCCACAAGGTGGCAATGCTAGCCCTGTCTTGGCAGATTTAACATTCTCCTACCCAGAATACGTATACGGCTCTGACCATCCTGGCACTGATATTTTGTTTAAACCTTTCAGATATATGGATGACCTACTGATTATTCATAACCAAAAGGAAAACCGCATTCTGAATTTACTAGATAAAACATATAATAATATTTCGGAGCTGGAAAGCACACACTTAAACAGTAGTAATTGTAACTTTCTTGACATGAAAATTATGATCAAAAATAACAGAATATACACAGAACAGTATAACAAAACTGATTACTTTGATTTTGCTGTAAATAAATATACTCATGGAAACTCTAATGTTGGTATTAAAATTAAAATAGCTATTATATACGGCGAGATCCTAAGAATCTACAGAACTTGCACAAGTTTCAATAGCTTTGAACAAAGATTATTGCTTCTGATGATTAAAATTTATGCACTTGATTATAGTGCTGATATTATTGAAAATGCATTTATAAAATGTCTCACTTTCAATAAATGTATTTTCCATAAGTATCCGGAACTTCATTCATTTAAAAAACTCTAAACATTTTATGAAGTTCATAATTCAAAAACTTGATTTTTATGTCTCAGACATAATTATTTTGCTCTACCCGAATGGTATATAAACCTTGAGGTATAAATACAGCAACACCAAGGCCAAACCATTAGTCTTCTATTCAAGCCACTCTTCCCTACTGAAGAGCCTCGGGAGTGGTCTACTCTTCTTGATACCTGTATAGGGGCAGAGGCGAAACAGGCCATGCTGTATATTATCAATGCTAACATTCTTCTATTTAAATGGACATTTTTTTCGCTTTCGGGCCAACTTGAATCCCAGATATTCAAGAGATGGGAAAACGGTCGTTTTGCATGGCAGTCTACAGCGCCTTCCTGATAACTTGTCCCAACGCGTAACGTACGTGGCAAATCTCCCTCCCGTGTTTTTGCTTAGGCAAAAGCCGCCGAAGGGTGTCTCGCGCGCGACAGTAATCCTATAAGGGAAAGCATTACGATCGTGCGAAACTTTTATACCACACCTTTATCGTGGGGATTTTTGAGACGGCACTTTAGGTAATTTTCTGCTAAGGTTTCAGGCAGGTTCATGATTTTTACCAGCTGCCATGTACCTACCGTAACTCTGCGAAAAGGTCTCAAAACGCAATGAGAGTGTTTCAGACGTGGTCAGAAGGTTGAATATCTCTAGACCGAGTTTCAGCCAAAACTGAGATTCCGCCCCTTTGCAGTATACCTACCATAACTCGGTGAAATCGCTTCAAGATGCCGAAGGAGTATGATATTCGTTATCCGCATGTCAATTAGCCCCCCTCAAAGTTTCAGCGAAATCCACGATTTTAGCTTCTTATGTGTACCCAACGTAAACCCAGAAAATGGCGCTATCGCGCGAAATGACTACGATATTCGTCATCAGCGGCTTTAATAATCCCCATGTACCAACTTTGAGCAAGATTCATTCAAAAACATCAGGAGCCATAGCCGAATAGCGCCATCAGTTTTCAGAATTATCCTTACTTTTACCGGCTTCATTGCTTTTTCTTGCAAAGTTTGAGCTACGGGGCTGGGGGTTGTTGAGGGAGGTAGGTGGGCATGCTAATTATTAACACAGCGGGAATACGGAATTGCATGTATTAGAAGTGGGCACAATGAAAGATTCTACAGGAATAGGAGTAAGAGCTTTGTCATAGCATTGACAGGGCCGGGTGGAGCCGGATAAGCCAGCTAGTCTTTCAAATTTTGTACGACCACTTTTGTTATAACCAAGTTTTAGCTTGGACTTCTAAAAATTCGAAAGATTTCGCCGCTTGTATACTTTCACCATTCGCGAAAGACGAAGTTATTGAAAAAGTGCTTTTCTAGTTTTGAAAACTTAACAACAGCACAACTTACTGCAAAGCAAATAAGATGGAATCAAAAAATGTAGAAAAGCTTCGCACCCTAACTGCTTTCAACAAGAAGAAAAACCGTCATGCTCTCTTTTTGATGGGCGCATGATTGCTGCTGAGAGATTGTTTCCATTATGTATGCTTTGAAAACGGTATCAGCGTACATTGACGGTTAATATACATATACATTAACGATCAGATTGTTAAAGAGAAAATGTTTCTTTTAATGTATTATGCGACGATAAAATTTGGTGTGCCTAGACATCAGCCTAAAAAAATGTTACATTTTGGGTAGAGGACATCAGATCGCCGAAAAGGGAGGCCGTAAAGTCATCTATCCCCATTTCGGGGGGAACAGAATCTACCTATCCAAGGTATTTTCGACCTCATTGGTGTGGTCTGCGGGGTATAAATTAGGCATAGCGAGCTCGCTGATTTCAGGCCTCTTTAGGATACAGCGCTAAGCCAATCCCCTCCCACACATCATACCTTTTTGGCGTAAAACCAATAAATGCCAGAAAGCCTGGTGATACTTGTGGACATGGCTGGCTCAGCGACATAACGTGCTAGAAGAGGCCATCAAAGCTCAAAATGGAGCTAATGGAAAGAAAAAAGATGATTGACATCAGGAGGACTAGGCAACTTTGAATATGACTGAATTTACAGCACAAAATTAAGAGTCGATTTAGAAATATTCAGGTTTATAAAAAAATCCATAAATAAAGTGAACTCATTCGACGGGTAGAAAAATTATTCTAGTCTACAAAAATCAGATAAGTCCAATACGTTAAAGTTCACATTTCGTACATTTCAAGAAATAGAGTGATATATAAACATATATTAACCTTGAACAGAAAGTTCGTTTGCATATTTTTCAAAAACCGTATCTGCTCAAATCAAACTTTATTAGAAACCGTAGCGCATGTACTTTTCAACTGTGGTCTGATGCTCCCAGCTATGTTTAGGTTGCAGAGATAAAAATGGAGGAAAGAATTCTTTTTGAGTCCGCCAATTTGAGGCAAGCCCGTTAAATTCGAAAATGCGCAGTAAAATTCAAAACAGCATCTCAATTTCTTACCTCCTCTTTACAAGCGAGTAAAGGTGGTTGATTGATCTTTTCTTTGAAAAGTCATGACTTTCGAGAGAAAATGCCATACAGTCAATCTCTTAGGAAAAGCGTTTTTGCCGAAAATCATAACTTTTCAAAGAACGGCTCGATCAGCGAGAATTTTGCTGAGCTAGAAAAAGGAGGCCAGAAAATCAAGGATAATGGCTGTTTTTGGATTTTACGGCGCAGATGAATTTTTAACGAGCTTGTCTCAAATCGCCAGACTTTAGAAGATTTCCTTCTTCCATTTTAATCTTTGCCGGCTGAATATAGTTGAAGGCCACTAGGCTACACTTAGAAATTGCTGCTGTATGCTTATGCTTTATGCTTTCCAATAAAATTTGATTCGAGCAGAATCGTTGTGATAGAAAGAAGTTACGGTTTTTTGAAAATTGTACGAACGAACTTTCGGTCCAACCTGATGTATTAATTATAGAGAAAAAAATGTAGATTACAAAAATATGTGCAGCTCAAGGACCCTCGTATTCTTTTGTCTTGAGGCTACATCCTTGGGGCATGCTGTTCCCATTAAAGAAATGGGTCATTCGTCTAACGTTCCGAGAGCGGTGCAAAAGTAGTTTGGCATGCCAATTTTACGGAGACGTCTAGTCGAATCAACTCTAACGTTTTGTTTTCCAAAGGCCATATCTTGCTGGAAAATAAATCTACTTCCTCCATTTTCTAGCAAGTCAGAGCATTCGCTGAAGAGGAACCGTTGCAAAATTGTGGAGACAGCAGGAAGTTGAAATTTTCAAAAAAAGCGAAGGAACTCTAGGTTCAACCTTTTTTTATTCCAAGACTCTAGACTATTCGTGCTATCCCGTGAGTTCTTGATTAGCAAGTGCCACTAGACAGAACTTTCTGGAATTCCTTCTGATGAAAAGTTTTCATACTGTCCTTTGTGCTCTCAGTCAAAGAAGTTATCACATGCCCTTGTTAGGTATATGTACAGCTAGTTCTATCCTATTTGCTCATAATGACTTTCATGACCTTCAACATTTGGCTTTGTTTATCAGCTGTGCTAGGAGAAGTAATTTCTCGAATTCTTTTTAACCTTATCTTTCCACGTTACGAGACTTCAATGTCAAAACTGAGCTCCTAACTATCGGGTGTTGTTTCCATAAGATTGCGTTTTATTCTATAAATTCTTCTTGTTTGCCTCTACGGATATCTTATGCACTATGCTGTCGAAGAATAAAGTGGTTTCAGTTTGCATGGACTGAAAATGGCGACAATAAGAGCCCTCAATGAGACAAAATTTATGAATGAACCCCACACTTTAAAGAAAAAAACATCTCAAAAATGTGATCTTTTACAGATATATCTCTGACGTGCTATGTCAAAAGTCTTTTTTAGCTTTTTGAAAGTAACATTCGTCTTTTGAGTAGCATGGCTTAACTCCACAATCCAAAGGATTTCGCATAAACTGCGCTTACGCATTTCCAACTCAGCCCTACGTTTACTCATGAAAAATATCGAAGCTCTGGTGGGAGAGTTAGGGGGAGGAGTGTATCCCACATACTATGACGTGGAACTGCAAAAAAAGAATTTCGAGGGAAGTAATTATTCTCACGTGATTGGGTTGATTAGCAGAAATATTTGAGAGGCAGAAAAATTATGCAGTGGGCAAACCAGAGGCATTGGTATTTCCATGATATCTTATCAAAGCAGACATTGGTGGCCGTATCGTCCATTCGTTGACCGCAAGGACAGCTCAAACGTTGCGGACCAAGCGCGGCGCGGCTGAATTGTCGCGAGAGCACAACTTGTACAATGGCGGATTTGTACTGGGGCAAGCGTTTCATCTCGCAGCGCGTGCTCCGCAGTGATTTCCAGTTCGTGTGATCAACGAACCAACAAAACTAACCGATACCAAAAATACAAAAATTGTGTCTTAAGGGTTCTGTAGGATTTTCCTGTCGAGACCTAAAATCATCTTATCCTTGCCATCAAAGCGCCGCAGCACAGCTGAGACGGTTGTTTTTCAGCTATCATCCTGCCTGCATTGAGAATGCGCAGGTGTGATTTGGACGTAAAATGAACCACATCATAAGGATGTAACCCGTTTACTGAATGTAAATGACTGAATTGCTGACTCCGCGGATGTCATGGGCTCTCCCTTCGACTGTAGTGAACTTTGTTAATTTTCGGGCGAGTGGAACGGAATACAAGGTAATAATATAAATTTCTCCACTGAGACATATTAATGACCGAATATTATGCCTGAGATAATGCATGGATGCAAAGGTGCAGAACGGATGCAATTACCTTGTCTCTGATACATGTACGGAAGCTATTAAAGCTCATTGCTACGCACCGAAAAACATATACTCAGCTTTGCAGCAGACCATCTTAAGGTGAGCTGTCAGCTAACCAGGTAGGTTTGTCTTTTTGGACCCTTTGCACCTATCGAAGAAACATCGCATCATAAATCATGACACGAAGTTCGTTGTTTACCTCAAAAGTGCGTGGTAATGACAAAACAAAAGTCTCATAGCATGTTTTTATTGATAACGTTGTCTAGCTTTGATTGATACCCTCAGCGATGCGAGTTCGAAGGTAAGCACGTTATATTTTATTCTGAATGAAAGAGCCATCATCTTAATGGAAATTTATGCACCGGTAGATCAAGCAGTATATTTATTGCAGACCCAGGATACTAAGACGTTGTAACCTCGGCGAAGGCTGTTTATTCAAGACCTACAATATGTCACAGGCGGTAAGTATTCAACAGCAACTCTAAAATTGGAAACAGAATCTAGATCAAGCACAACATTTCAGAAATAATATTGTTAGATACAGATCCTGAAGTCGACAATATTGTGAATGCAAATGTTTTACTGAGTATTTCTGCGCCAAACCTCCTAAGAGCATGAGGAGAAAGCAGTAAAGAGTAAACAAATTTTGTGCAGCAAAAATCATATCACTGACACACGTTTTGGGAACTAAATCTAGTGGGGAATAGCATCCTGCTCAATATTTTTGTGTCCCAATCAACCAAGGCTCCTTGTTCAGTAAATACGTTTTTTTTCGTTTCGAAGAAACAGACCATAGTTAGGACATACCAGGAATCAGGTAACAATTCAAAACTGCGATTCTTTGAATTAGTTGGAATTTTGCAGTACTTCCCTGCACCAATTTAGTTAGTCATAAATGAACGAAATAGTAATCACATAATTTTGTATAAGCAAAAGACGAAAAGGCTGCTTATAAGCTTAGCAAGAAAGCAAAAAAAAGCAAAATTAACCTTAACACTGCTTAAGTTTACAGAAAATGGTGAAGTCATTTCTTTTTACATTTACAGCGAAGTAGCTAAAAACATGTACAATAATTTTTTTTCATATAACATGAACTATGACAGATTAAATTCTTAGATGTTATTTGCAAATTCGCAGACACTAAAGCAGTTCTCTTTGCGTAAACTTACCGTATCCTGATAGATAATAGTAGTACAGTATGCGACAAAGTTTTCTGTGTCTAGTAAATGTTCTTCTCAAGGAAATTTATTGTAATTTTGAGTACACAGAACAGCTTTGAAATACCGTCTTTTTTAGCAGAAAAATTGCGAAATTTCTTACGATAACTTAGAAACGGCTACAATTAACTTCACCCGTGATACAACTTTTTTGCATGCTCTGATCTAGGAAAATGGAAGTCCACGAACCCCTCGCCGATACTCGCTGGTACATCAGGCCAGCTGTGAAACGGCTATGCATGCAGGACTGCGAAGAAGGAACACTACGAAATTCCGAGAACAGCTGGTGGAAGTCACCAAAGGCGAACAGGTCAGTAACTTTACCTCAAAAATGACAATAACAAGCCTAAGCTTGAATTCTGTTCATCTGAGAAAGCAAAGAAAATCACTGCAGATTTTCCAACAACTCAATGACGAAGGTGTCGAACTGATTTGGGCAGCTGATAAGGGTAGTATTGGGTTCACTGCAGTGCTTAGCAGTTCCAGTAAGTCTCCGCTTTTGGATTCTTCTGAATAATTCGACGTCCAAGAATGAGCTGCTTGTGGTCAACACTTGGAGACCTAATTATGGCGTTATTTGTGAAATCTGTTAGATGAATAGTAAATATTTAAATGCATTTTTTAGGCGAACTTGCTCCTTTTGTACGAGAAGTAATTCAAGCCTTTACATCAAATGACATTCGCATAAGCCATGTCGAGACTAGACAACACAAATTGGAAAAGGTAAGGGATTTTCTTTAGTTTTAGATATCAGCGCAGTGAAATCAACAAACACAAATTAAAAAACGAGTTACAATCTGGATGTAGTCTGAAAGTTTTCTAACGTGATGTCTTAGTCAAATTTTTATAAGTAAAACCCGGAACCAATGTTTTCGATTATAGGATGGGATCTGCTAGCTGACTGTGATGCAACGAAGGACCAGCTAATAGCGGCTGCTGCGACTCTTACGAAAGAGCATGTAAATCTGACTGGATTTGCTCTCTACAAGAAGAACGCCGTAGAGGAGGGTAAGCTTTACCTTTACTTCACCACAATCAAAGCTTCACTAAATGTTGTGCCATACAGTTTTACATGATTTCACACAGTAATCTCCGATGTAGGACTTATTGCTACAGTAGACGAAGGTCCTCTCAAAAGTAATATATGCGCTGAACACCTTTGCCTTGAAAATGAGGATAGTTTGGCCTTTTAGTGTTTTCCAGAGTTATGCTTATAAAGCAAGGTTACTCGGTATAAAAAAACTTGATAGCCAGTTGAGCGCGCTCCAAATCAAAAGCCACTGCTCGCGCTCCCAAGGACCAAAGAAGCTTACGTACTTCACATGCTAAATTGAGCCCGAAACATTTTCATCGCGTGTTTGTGGCGTTGTGTTGCTGATTATTTCCATCTTTAAAAAATAGCAGAAGCCTTAACATAAAGCATTTTTGAAGAAGAACAAAGTTTTGGACATTTACTGCTACAAAATGTAGGGCCTGTGTGAGCTCGTCCGCTGCTGTGGCGGTGCTACAGTGCACCGTTTGTTGACACCCTGGCACTCAGGGTGCCACTATTGCCAGCTATCGTTATTCTTGACATATACCCCTTTATAAGATCAAAAAGTTCATATATGGGCATGTAAGAGGTACTACAACTACCAGATTTAGAAAGATTATCGTTTTTAATGCCCAAATCAAAAGCCACTGCTCTAACACGTCACTAAGGTATTATGACTTAAAATCTATTATTATTTTATTTTAGTGCTATGGTTTCCACAACACATATCAGAGCTTGACAAATGCTCTCATTGCATTACAAAATACGATCCAATGACGGATCCGCGTCATCCGGTATGAGAAAATTTTTTTGATAATTGTTACATCAGGCACGATATGCAAGCTATGGCAGGAAGGAGAGGAAAAGAGAATTTCTTCAGCTTCCGCTGTCCGCTCCTTCTCGCCCACTTTCTTCGCTAGAAAGAAAAGCGCTTATATTCTACCCATTCCAATATTTTATGTCACTCTTCTTGATTTTCTAGACCTTTCCCATCTTCCCAATACTGAAAAATAATGACATAAAAGTCAAAATGAATAACGAGTAAAAACAAACCGTACAATTCTTTCCGCAAATTCTTTCAGATCGGAAACTTGCCAGGAATCAAAAATATATTTTTGGATCCGTGAAACTTATCGACAAGGAAATTAGCGCCGTGCGGCGTTTTGCGGTTAAATACGTAGGACAGGTCAAACAAAAATATTTTTGAAAATCAGAATTCTAAACCGCCACATTCGTAGCAGTCCAGTGATGTTTTCAGTTTCTTCAAAAATCGCCTTCGAAGGAAGTTACGGCAATCCGACGGTTTTTTCACGACAAAAATGTAGCGGCGAAAAAATTTATGGCAATCCCAAGTGCTAAGAGCTTAATTGTATTTGCGTATTGTAAGCTCAGCTTAGCAATAGATAAAAAGACTTTACCTCCATAATTCACGAACCGCTCTTAGAATCAATAATCTAACTCAAAATCACTTATTTACTGCGAGAATATTGATAGTTTTGCCATAAGTTGCAGAAATATGAACATCTCGATTTTTCAAGTCTTCCAAAACGGGCAATGCGATACGCTGCATTATTCTACCCATGCATTTCTTTCATGATTGGAGGAGATGAAGGGGGACGGTATCACGGGATTACTGTAGCTCCAAAACGTGCCCGCACATAGTTGGTTCAGTATAGCGTAGTCTTTAACGGTAGTGTAGTCTGACACCACACGGCTGACGCAGGTGTATGTGAAATGATGTTCAGGGACATGGCGATGCGACGTACATAGCTAGAAGAAATTTCCTCAACGATCATGCCATGCAATACAAACAGTGAGTGCCGATTCCTAACATTTTTCCACAAAAAAAAGAAACTTCAATTACAGTGGTGATCCGATACCCATCGTTGAGTACACAGAGCAGGAACATGCGACATGAAAGGCTGTTTACGAAAATCTGAGAGGACTACATGAAAGTCATACATGCTTGGCTTATAGGTGAGCCTCACCTTTGGAAAAAAGTAACGTGGGGAAAAATATTTTTGCAGGAAGAACTTGAAACTCTTGGAAGATTCTGGAGTTTTGACACCGGAAAAAATTCCACAAATCAGGGGTGTGAATGTATATCTGCAGAGTAAGTTTTGGAACCACATATTCGGCCAAAGTAAAATTTTTGTTCTAGAAAGTTCTAAAGTTCTAAAAGCTCTAAAATACATCGCAATTGTACAGTACCCACACTAATTATTCGACAGAAAACGCAAAAACTGACGATCCGCGTTTTTTTCGTTTTTTCTTCGTAACTTCCTTCAGAATGCATAAAATACGAATCTGAAGAAATCATGATGTTGAGCTCGTCAAGATGAATCTTCTCATAAACTGCACTCTCATACTATTCCGTTTTCAGTCTTCTCAATTTTCGTATGATAACGGGTTTTCGTAGTGGTGTAACTCAGCGAAGAACACACGTGGAAGATTCAAGTAAACACGACTCGGTAGAGCTGTTCCGGTAGATTATCATGTACTAACGACTAGCAAAGGATCCCCTTTTCATAGAGAAAGATAGGCCAGTAAATTTTGATAGAATCGATGTCTTTCAAATTTTAGCTACCATAACCATATAGTAAGGCGCTAATTTGCAAAGTAGGTGTGTTTTTCGTAATCAGCTAAAGCTCGCCGACGGGTTTTGGCTAAAATATGATGATCTTGGATTGACAGGAAACTTCGCCCATAGAGGTTTTCGGACTCGCTGATTACGAAAATAGTGCTGTTTGTGCAGCGTAAGCTTTTTCAGGAGCGTTATGCTGAGAGGAATGCTGCGATACTGCGCAAGTTCCTAAATTTGTCTGCTCTTTTCGCGTATCTATTGAACAACTTACCTGCTCCGTTTTGTAATTTGAAGTCATTAGAGACAGTGCTTTTAGAGCATGCTTAAACCAGGCCCTTATCTGTATTGATCGCCGAACTATGAGCATACGAACCAGGGCTCAGCACAGCTGGCACAGGGTCAAGCTGGATATCGTTTTTAGGGCGGAAAGCAAAGGGGATATCGTTTCTACAGGGGCCGAGGCGGAGAACTGCCGCAAAAACGCCGCCGGCATGCCACCGGCATGCCATTGGCAAGCTGTCCATCAACAAACAAAGGCGTTGTTTTCAGCCAAAACGCAATAGTATGACACCAAATTTGGTGTGTGCACGCGCGTTGGTGGACCGGAACTATGGGCCAAAAATTTATGAAAGCTTATGTGAATGAAAGCTGTGCCGAACTTTTTTCTGAATTAGCTGGCAGCACCGACACTTTGCTCACATAAGTTTTCATACTTTTTTACATAAAATGTATCTATACTGTAAAAGATTACATACGGAAAAGAAACAGTTTCATAATGTTATCTTTTCAGCGTTTTATAGCAACTTGAAAACCACTCGGTCCTCTCCGCAGTCGAAAAATCGGCTTTTTCTGCTTCTCAAGATGTGATTCGACCACTTAAAAAGCTCAGAAAGCTGTGAAAAGTTCTTTCGTGCAATCAGAAATGCATGAAAACACTACTACATTTTTTTACATAATATGAAAATGATGACGGGGTTTCAAAACAGGTCAAAATGGACTTCGTACGAAATTTTTAATATCAAACGGGACTTCGTTTTGAAATTCCCCTGGTCCAGCTCGTGCCGAGCCCTGATACGAACTCACGTCTTCATGAAAATCGTTCAAAATTTCAAGATCGCATATTTTGGCCAAATATCACCGCGAAGGTCACAGGTCACTCTGATTGCAGATATTATGTTTAGTACATATGTAGATCGATAATCTTGATACAGCATACTTGCTTACCCCCTATGTCAACTCTTGCACCTATAGATCAAAGTTTGCAAAAAAATCGGTAGAGTCGCTGAAGGTAATTGTATTTGAAAGCTACATTGTATTCGTAATCAGCACCCTTACTCACCTAGTTATACCAATTCCCAGCCCGGTAGCTCAAGTGTGCAAAAGATCGATAAATCAATAGTGACGAAATGTAGTCTACGAGACCAGCTCTGCTCCTAAGTTGTGTACAAGGTTTGGTCTGCATTGGCACATACCATTTGATTCAACTGGCTTGGCTTCGGCAAAGGCGGGGATTCGTGAACTAATTAAGGCTAGGCAATGATCAGAGAGCACTCGCGCGAGAGAGACGCAGGTGCGTCGCGGGCGCGAGCGGCTTCAGTTAGATCACAAAACCCCGCCCCAATGGTGCCAAGCCAGTTGAATCACATGTTACGCACAGACACACAGACACATGCCAAACAGACATTCACTTGAGTTTAAGAAATAAATAATAACAATAACAGTTGGAATTCTAAAGTTTGTCAATGTCATCATAAGATCGTAGGCATCTCCTTGTAACCGTTCATCACTAGGTGGAGATAAAAGCGTGGGCCACTCACTATTTGTTCCAAGTTCTAAGGCTGGTCAATCTTGCTATTTTACTTGTGTTCACCTTATCCACCAAGTTTTTTCTTTCACCGACGTTAAGAGGAGTTCAGAGTCGTCTTCACAAAACATCTGTCCCAACAGAGGTCAGGCTGAACCGTCGGCGTAAGCTTGTGCGCTCGCAGCAGTATGGTTTAGCGTTGCACATGGGCACTGTCGAAGAGCGAAGAGATTGAAGGATTGGACAAGCTAGTAGAGTGGCGCAAAACCCGCGTGATTAGGGCCTCCACCGTGCCAATTTTGGCTTGATTGAGATTGGCACAGACTGTACCCCTCTGGAGTGCACGGATCTCAGGGTTGACTACGCTGCATACGCGACGTACGCAGCGTACGTTCGGTATATTTCATCATAGCGACGCAAGCGGCGTACGCCGCGCAGTCTGGCGCAATCCTCAGAGCTGAGAAGAATTCGACTCTTTTGCGAGAGGCGAATTTGAAATGTATATTATCTGTAACCAAACTATACCATGCACTTTGATGGAAATCATGTTTTTATACTGTCATGGTGTATGAAACACAATGAAAATGCACTCAGGCGGCAATGGCGCACGCAAAGATTCAAGAGCATTTAGAGTAGCAAATTGATCGGCTTTACAACTGCAAATAGTGAATGACCCACGCTTTTATCTCCACCTAGTGATGAACGGTTGCAAAGAGATGCCTACGATCTTATGATGAGATTGACAAACTTTAGAATTCCAACTGTTATTATTATTATTTATTTCTTAAACTCAAGTGAATGTCTGTTTGGCATGTGTCTGTGTGTCTGTGCGTAACCTGTGATTCAAGTGGCTTGGCACGATTAGGGCGGGGTTTTGTGATCTAACTGAGGCCGCTCGCGCCCGCGACGCACCTGCGTCTCTCTCGCGCGAGTGCTCTCTGATCATTGCCTAGCCTTAATTAGGTCACGAATCCCCGCCTTTGCCGAAGCCAAGCCAGTTGAATCAAATGGTACGTGCCAATGCAGACCAAACCTTGCACACAACTTAGGGGCAGAGCTGGTCTCGTAGACTACATTTCGTCACCATTGATTTATCGATCTTTTGCACACTTGAGCCACCGGGCTGGGAATTGGTATAACTAGGTGAGTAAGGGTGCTGATTACGAATACAATGTAGTTTTCAAATGCAATTACCTTTAGCGACTCTACCGATTTTTTTGCAAACTTTGATCTATAGGTGCAAGAGTTGACATAGGGGGTAAGCAAGTATGCTGTATCAAGATTATCGATCTACATATGTACTAAACATAATATCTGCAATCAGAGTGACCTGTGACCTTCGCGGTGATATTTTGCCAAAATATGCGATCTTGAAATTTTGAACGATTTTCATGAAGACGTGAGTTTATATGCTCACAGTTCGGCGACCAAAACAGATAAGGGCCTAGTTTAAGCATGCTCTAAGAGCACTGTCTCTAATGATTTCAAATTACAAAACGGAGCAGGTAAGTTGTCCAACAGATGCGCGAAAAGAGCAGACAAATTTAGGAACTTGCGCAGTATCGCAGCATTCCTCTCAGCATAACGCTTTTGAAAAAGCTTACGCTGCACAAACAGCACTATTTTCGTAATCAGCGAGTCCGGAAACCTCTATGGGCGAAGTTTCCCGTCAATCCAAGATCATCAATATTTTAGCCAAAACCCGTCGGCGAGCTTTACAGCCTAGAACGAGAAAAAATCAAAGGGCCCGAAATTCTTGGAAAACTTGCCCATAGAGGTTATCTAGTTTGCTGATTACGAAAAACACACCTACTTTGCAAATTAGCGCCTTACTGTATGGTTACGGTAGCTAAAATTTGAAAGACATCGATTCTATCAAAATTTACTGGCCTATCTTTCTCTATGAAAAGGGGATCCTTTGCTAGTCGTTAGTACATGATAATCTACCGGAACAGCTCTACCGAGTCGTGTTTACTTGAATCTTCCACGTGTGTTCTTCGCTGAGTTACACCACTACGAAAACCCGTTATCATACGAAAATTGAGAAGACTGAAAACGGAATAGTATGAGAGTGCAGTTTATGAGAAGATTCATCTTGACGAGCTCAACATCATGCTTTCTTCAGATTCGTATTTTATGCATTCTGAAGGAAGTTACGAAGAAAAAACGAAAAAAACGCGGATCGTCAGTTTTTGCGTTTTCTGTCGAATAATTAGTGTGGGTACTGTACTTATGAATCTTTGATGTTGACAGTATATTAACCAAGTTATAAGTTCGCAGGATCATTTCAAAATAAAATCTGATATTTGAGCATTTGAAGTTTGAATTTGCCCTCAAACTTCACCTAGACCAAACATTTTGCTATTTTCCGAAACAGTCTTGTAAAGATTGCTTTGCTCTATCATGACATGCTTCCACATCTAGATATTCCCAGTGCCATGGTCGAGTAAGGTGCATTAAATTCCGGAGAACCTAATACTATGCCCTAAGCGCGACGGAGCGCACTCAAAGAGGCGATTAATGCAAATGT